CGTACGTACGGTACGGTTAGGTAGGTAGTACGTACGTACGTACGTACGTACACTACTACTACTACGTACTACGTACGTACTACGTACGTACGTACGAGAGAGAGAGAGAGAGAGAGAGAGAGAGAGGATATCGGACATACACTCAAAAAATAACATGGCATATCGACTTATGAGTCAGAGTTTGAATCGTAGAAATCACTGGGGCAAGGAGTTAGAACCTCAGATTCCAGTATCTGTAGAACCCTGTGCATCGTCGGCCGCTCCTCCGGATTGGGTGAGACACACTGAATTGCAATGGAGAGCAGTGTGTGAAAGCTCTCTGGCTGCACTCCCTCACAGAGCTGATCGATTATATCCGTCTGCTTATTCTCCTCCACCAAGTGATTCAACTGCAAAACATTAGGATATGCATGTCATGCTATACTCGAGTGAAACAAAGCAGGAGAACCCAGAAATTCAAAGGAATGACCAGCTGGAACTTGGACAATACAAGTTACATATATCTTTCGATGGGCCAGGTGTACGCTCAAGATAAGGAAATACCCTTTCTTCTAAGCATATCTACAAGTAAGCAAGCATGTCTGTATGTCTTGAGGTGGAGCCAAAAGAATGGGATTTAGAATTTAACTGGATACCTTTGTAATGTGTATTGAACTTTGTTTGCTTAGCGTGAGTATCTTTGAACCAAATCATAGCCCTTTTTTTCAGTGGGTTAGTTCAGTATGGATCATCAGATTCAAAATATATCTGTAATGTGCATTATATTGTTTGGTAAGAGAGTCACAGTTCTCTCATAGTGGGTTAGTTTAACTTGGTTCATCAGATTTAAAATATATTTGCAACTTGTGGTATGCAGTTTTGTAAATATCTGTGGCAGTTCTTTACTCTTCGCCACATGCACATACAACCATGAGATATATTCTGTTATGCACCTCTGCAATTGTGGACTTAGAAAAAAGGTCCTCCACTTGTTTTGACAAAGTTGTGTTCCGGAAGATCTGTGAGCTGCTTAGCTCACAAGCCTACTCCATAGCAAGCCTGGAACCCCACACTGTTGATGGTTAACCCATGGGACGAATTGATCAAGTCAAACTGTACACTCCAGTTCCGGTTGTTAGGGTTGATGTCACAGGTGCGAGAGAGAGAATTTGACTTGACTGCATCACCTCCCCAAAATTCTACTTCATACGACCATGGGATTTTTTATAATGCACTCTACAGCGGTTACCTTAAGAAAGGTTGCCCCAGTTGTTTTGACAAAGTCATGTTCCAATGCATTCTTGGGTAAGAGAAAGTTCGCTCATTTGCCAGGGGCAATGACAAATACACAAGTGGCACAGGCATGAACTAGAGCAAGCCTGTTTCGACAGTCATGTTCCAAGACTTTCTTGGGTAAAAGATGGTTCGCTCATTTGCCAGGGGGAATGAAAAAGACACAAGTGGCACAAGCTTGCTCCATACAAAGCCTGGAATCCTACTCTATTGATGATTAACCCATGGGATGAATTGATCAAGTCAAACAGTGCACTCCAGTTCCGGTTGTTAGGTTTGATGTCAGGCGCGAGAGAGAGAATTTGACTTGACTGCATCTACTCCCCAAAATTCTACTTCATACGACCATGGGATTTTCTATAATGCACCTCTAAAGCGGTTACCTTAAGAAAAGATGCCCCAGTTGTTTTGACAAAGTCATGTTCCAAGACATTCTTGGGTTGCTCATTTGCCAGGGGCAATGACAAATACACAAGTGGCTTAGCATGAACATGTGCTAAACATTGACTTTATAAAATTATTTCAATGTCTATACCCAAAATATTTTGCCAACAAATGGATAGGGGCTTTTCTTGAACAAAAATGTGATAAGCACATTCTTTCAAGGGGTGTATGTAAAAGCAATTTTGTGGATTCTTTTTACCACTAAGGGTTGCAATGGGCCAGGCCTGGGCTGGGACACCCTTGGCCCTACCCTCACTCTTGTCCCTTTAGGACTGGCCCAGGCCCCATTAGGAACGAGATTGGCCGGACCAAAAACAAATAAAGAAAAAGAAAAGAAAAAGAGGACCGAGCCGGGCCGACCTAGCCTGGCCCTCTGTGGCCCAGGACAACTAGGCCGGGCCTAACTGGGTGGCCCACTTCCATCCCTAATTATCATCATATGACAATATCACACCCAAACTGCACAACAATAGACAGCTCATGACAGACACACTGTTCTCTACAAGATAACATATAAATTTACACCTACAGAAAGGTGGGGAAAAACATACCCAGCCAACAATATTGAGGCCTTTCTCAATAAACAATGAATCTGTGGGTCGCTTTCTACTCAAAACTTCAAGCACAAGAACTCCAAAACTATACACGTCGGACTTCTCCGTCGCTCTGCCACTATTAATATACTCTGCAATAACAAAAATTGCATGTGGAGGCTCAGAACTTGTCGAAGTATTGAGAGTTTCTAATGAGCACTATTGGTTATATTTTCCATGAAGAATACTCATCCAAAAAGTAAAACCTATTAAGAATGTCCCATGAGCCCTAACAATTATACCTTCCCTTCAAAAAAATACTACACAAAAAAAATAAGACCATCAAGAATGTCTAACTAGCTCATATGTTCATTCTTGAAGAAGATACCTGGGGCCAAGTAACCAAATGTTCCGGCAACTATAGTAGTGATATGAGATGCTTCATCCTCAAGTAGTTTGGCAAGCCCAAAATCAGAAACACGAGCGTCCATATGCATATCGAGCAATATATTGCTAGACTTTATGTCGCGGTGTATGATTCGAGGGGAACAATCGTGGTGCAGGTATGCCAACCCCTTTGCAGCTCCCACAATGATTTTCACACGAGCATCCCAGTCCAGCTGATCGGATCGTTCTACAGAAAACAACACATCAAGTGTATTAACAAAAGGAAACCATAGTGGAATGGCGAGAAACATGGTACAAGGGTATATGCTTGTCTATTTACATTAATAAATTGTACTGTACAGAATAGAAATATCATGTATATAGGGAAGCTTGATCATTTCACCCTTAATCCTAAATGTTATACTAGCTTATGGCACATACATTGCATGATGCCATGAAAATCAGACGTAATTTTTATATTTATTTTAATGGAGTTTTTTTTGGGTAAGTAGTGGTAAGTCAGTGGGGATTTATTTTAATAGGGTTATTTATTCTAAAATGAAAAACTAAGTATATTATTTTATTTTATTTTGAAAAGTTATGTATTATTGCTTCTGCAATAATACATAATCTCCTATTACTTACCCAAAAAAATCTCCTATTGAAAAATAATAAATTTAATTATAAAATAAACTTGCTAGTAGGCCCAAGCTTTCCACTCCCCCCGACCGAGCACACATAGTTGCCCACTGGCAGCACATTGAACCAAACATGCACTCTTCGTAGGTTGAAGGTTTTGAGGGAACTCGTTTCTTTGATTTCCAAGCTGCCACTGATTCCTTTCCGGCGGTCATTTCGGCCGATATCTTGTCTTGACTCTTTAACAAGATGAAAGGAAATGATGGCACCACGATATAACTTCGCCCGTGTTCAGATCTCCTGATCGGGGTCCTTCGCCACCATGTGGTTATGGCTTCCGGTCTATGAGTTTGTTTGGTTAAATGTAGGATTTTGGTGAATATCAAATTAATTACTCAAGAAAGAAATATCCTATATAACCTCTCCAAATGACTATTCCAAGAATGAGATAACCAAATTTTGTGATAAATTTAGATATATGCTGTCATGAGAAATCTAAGGACATAGTCAAAGTTTAGGGAGAAAGATTATCCAGAAAAGAGAAATTTAGGATAAGGTCTATTTGGGTAGGATATGGAAAGGGGTGTCCAGATGTGAAATTTAGGAAAGACTAGATGTTAAGGTAAATTTTAGATAAAAAATCTAGAAGCTCATAGCAAGTAAATGTTCCAAATGTTTCAACTTTCAAAGGATTGGCACCAGTTTCCACATTCCAACTAACCTACTCTTACATGAAAATTGTTAGATCATTTACCTATTTAATTATAGGATAGAGGGAAATTTTAGGAGAATAAGAGGAAACAGAAACATAACTTAGAATCAAAAGTCAGGCGCCTATTTATTGTCCCTCAGTAATGTAGGTTAGGTAAGTGCCCAACATGTGCTAATGATATCGATACTAATGTGCATTTATTGTCCATAAAACCATCATCAATATGGGTGGTGTTGTTGGTATTCTTGTTGTTGTTATAATTATCATTTGCCTAGTGTGGAAGAATGGCATCATAAGGGCATCCCTCGAGGTCACCAATCTAGTATTAGCCTTGCATAAATGAACTTATGATCCTATCCTTCATGCTTGTGGTTTCTAAACCACAATACATTTATTGTCCTGGTAAGAAATGAATCATGGGCATTACTTGATATATATTTCACACAAAATTTGCATAGATGAGCAAGCGCTTAGAAACATCACAACAGCTTATCAAAGGCATTTCTTGGGCAAGGAAAAATATCCAACGGTCACCTGGTGATGGATTACAAGATTTCTGGCATGCGACATGCAAGAAATTTTGGCATGACAAAATGGTATTTCTTCGGCATACTGCATAGAAGTTTTGGCGTCAAAGCACAAGCTTCATTTATATTATAATGAAGGTCTCATGCATGATTCCATCATTAACCAAAACACTCAAAGCATGAATGGAGAGGCATTTCAGTAGAGAAGCAATTTAAAAGGAAGTGCAATGATACACAAGAGATCTGATGCATCTGAAGTTCCATGTAACATTATAGAACTGTGAGCACCGACCCCTGAATCATGGCCAGAAGCCTGCACGCTTGCAAGTAAAAGTAGATCAGTTCCATTAAAAAATGTCGTTGAAATCAATCACCAATTTTATTTGTCAAGAACAAACCTATAAGGAACAAGGAAATGCATAAAGCAGATGACCCTAGAAATATCATTTATCGAATTTATTTATTTTGATTATATCGGAGGAAAAAAGAAATTGTATTAAAAAGATGAAATACACTCACCATGAAGTACTTCATCTAAATTTCCACCGGGTAAAAAATCATAGATCAGCAATTTAGAAGAAGGAGAATTGCAATATCCTCGCAAATTGACCAAGTATCTATGCTTTATGCTCCCAAGTATTTCAAGCTCCCTTTCAAAGAATCGATCCAAGCCGTCATTTGTTTTTACAATTCTTTTCAATGCAAATACATTGCCATCATCCATTGTAAGTCTGTAAACTGTTCCAAAGCCTCCAGAACCTATAATGTTTTCATCATTCAAAGCCTCTATTTTTCGTATGATATCTTTCGAAGAGTAGGGCAAATCGCCATGAAACATTATAATAGACGCACCTGAAACAATAGATCTTGGTATTAGTTGTATGGCTCCCAAAAAGACAACAAAATGATAACACATAGTAAGGAACTTGAAATAATTAATATCAATGTTTAAAAAAACAGATTGGAGACCTAGATCGCCCATCCTGTAAACCGGTCCGGATTGGCGGATTGGCCCAACCTGGCCTTAAAAATTTTGAAATAGTATTAAAAAATGTTTTAATTCTTTGTTTTTTGAGAGAAAGCACCAGAAAGGATGTTAAAATTTAGTCCCACGTCGTAGATATGGGAAGGAAAGGGGAACCAAGGGACTATAAAAAGGGTGGCATGCCTTTGAAAATGAAAACAGTAACGCATGCTCAAGGCCCCACTTGCACATGTCAAAGTGGGCCAGAGCAATAGGAAAATAAAAATAAAAAAGAAAAAAAAAGAAAAAGAAAAAAATATAATAATAAAAAAATTCATTAAGGAACTGGGTGAGCTGGCTAGAATCAGTTCTATCAAGGAACCAGCTAGTTCCTTCTAGAACCGCCTAGTTCCAGATATATTAAGGGAACCAGGACCGTCCCAATGATTCTAGGATTCGATCAGCTGATTTCAATCTAACCCGATGTTTTTTTAAACATTGATTAATATAATGTAGATGATTGAGGATATGGCTTTTCGTAGAGTAGACTGGCGGAAAAGATACGTGTAGCCAACCTCAAAGACTTTGGATAAGGCTCAAATGATGATGATGACGATAATGATGATTAATTTAATGTGGAAGTCACATCTCAACAGGACTACTAGATAAAACTAACTGCATTTTTATTGATAAGTGACCTTTATTGGAAAGTTCTTGAAAGTACAAGATGACAACACCATCACGACGATGCGAAAGTGGAATCACATAGATAAGTCGGGTTCCTATTAAAGCAGAAACAAAAATAATTTAAATATTAAAATAACTTCATGTTTTATGAACGGGAATGATACTAAGTACCTTCACTAACATCCATTGCATGAGGTTTGTCATTTTTACCAAATTTTTTGTAAAGAAAACAACCCCAAAAGCACATCAATGCTACAAGAAGTAAAGCACCAACTGTTGCCAAAGCGCTTATCAGGAGTTTAGTTGAGTTTCTCGCAGACCTTTTCTTTGCCCCTTGGTATATCACTGAAACATAGTCACATGTATGCTGTGTCATATTAGGTTTACAGATGGCAGCTATTTTACAAATGCAGGTCAGAAAATAAGGGCTCAGAATGTGTGCCCATATATAAGAAGACAGCTACAAAGTCCTAGCAAGCTTGAAACCATAGCATGGGCCAAATTTCCACAAACTCTTGGATCCGATGAACAAGATTGTGAAAAGAAATTCAAAAAATAAAACCTAGAATTTTTTCCTGATGGAGAAAATGTACTGAATGTAGGGCGCACATTTCAGAGTTGATGTGACACATGCAGAGAGAGAGAGAGAGAGAGAGAGAGAGATTTCAGGAAAATACAAGGGCAAAGTAAATCCTGATGAATATTTGAAACTAAAGCCATAAACAATACCACCATATGGAGAAGGATATCCACCAGCAACTGGAGATTCTGAATTGATCGGACCTTCAAGCTCACTTTTACATATAACATTGATTTGCTTCCCACACAAGCCACGATTGCCAACAAAGCTGAAACATGAAAATGTAGATAATACCTTAAAGAACATTCTGAATTCTTTTCATAAAATCTATGGTCATCTATACACATCATCCAAGTCCCTAAATGGTAGATGTTTGTGTACAAATTGAAGAGATATACATCCACCATTACATTTCTGTTAATAGTATATTACAGTAATCATGGAAATAAATGCCCATCTGTAACATATATAGGGTGTAAATCTAACGTAATGGTATGACTGGTATACATGAATATCTTGATGATGATTATCATGCACATACTGAACACTCTTTATTAGCAATTTACATGCGAATCACACTCCCAAATATAAATATCCATATCAAGAATGAAGTAATCCAAAATCCAGAAAGTAAGGATACAAAAGTTCCTTGATTAAATCCGGCAAAAATATTTGGTCTTCTTTTTATTGTTAAAGTGACTGATGTTTAAAATAGCCAAATCTGCTTAAAGAACTATGTACTAGAGATTTGAGGTTAGCAGTTCTGTTCTAAATTGGTCATTTTTCTACAGCATCTGTTATTGGAGCTCAACAAATCACAAAGGTTGGAAGGGGGCCCAATCTAGGATATTATCCAAACTTGATAGGTGTAACAATCCTAAAATTTCAAAAAAAAAGAAAAGAGAAAAGATACTTTTAAATAGGTGATGGTCTGTTTGAGTATGATGGTCCTTGGGGACCATCACTATTTTCAAAAGTTTTTACTTGGTTTAAACTTTTGCTTGCTGCTTGCCACGTCCTTTAGTGGACGTGGTTTTCATATGTTAAAAACAGACTCTTAACGCGACACCTCAGGTATGAGGTAGAGCCTAATAAAATAATATAATAATACGTTATAAGAATTTAAATAGGGGAGGTGAGCACTCCCACCCTAGAAAATTTTGAGATCTCTCACTCTCTGGTCGAAACGTAGTGAACTCCTCTCTCGAACCGAATTTTTATCGGAAGCTCCCTCTCAAATATTTGTGGGTAAGTGACATCGTCTTCCTGAAAAATAGTTTGTTTTTAATAAATAGTGATATTTCCGTCCAGGAACTTTATTTTATAAGTTTTGTGTGTAAGTGACCTCATTGTCTCGAAAAATAATCCATTCTTTTTAAAAATAAAATGAAATAATTATTTCTGCTTATTATCATGAATTTCAAGCGCGATAAATTTTATGCGCACACGACCTCATTATCTTGAAAAATAATCTTTTTAATAAAAATTGTGATATTTTATCTATGTTAGAAATTTTAAATGCTGTAAATTCTTAGAAAAATAAATTTATTTATTTTTCTAGTCTATTGTTAGAAAATTTTAGATACTATCAAATTATTAGAAATAAATGTGATATTTCTGCTTTTAGTAAAATTGTGATATTTTATCTATGTTAGAAATTTTGAATGCTGTAAATTCTTAGAAAAATAAATTTATTTACTTTTCTTGTCTATTGTTAGAAATAAATGTGATATTTCTGCTTTTAGTAAAATTATGATATTTCTTTCTACTGTTTTGAATATTTAGACATTGTAAAATTCACGTGCAAATGACTGCCTTATTATTTAAAAATTGACATTTTTGCAATTGATTATAGTATTGTTGTGAAATGTTTATTTGTGGATTGATATCCCATAAATTGTGATAATTCCGTATTCTTGAATTTCTATAAGAGTTTTTCTATACATATTAAATTGGCAATTATGCTAGAATGCCTTTACAAACTGCTACCTTTCTAAATTTGAGCCCAAAATATTTGATTGGTTATTTTTGAAATGTTATAGAGAGTGACTGTTATTAATGCTTTAAGTGAAATTCATATTAATGATTTCAGTGATATGTTGAGTACATGATATTGCTGCTTTCGAATGTTTAAAGAGATTTAGAAATAATTTAAGTATGCAAGTGGACTCATCCGATTCGCCGGTGAGGTATAAGTGGACCTATCTAGGACGCCGGTAGGGATTAAGTGGACTCATCCGGTACGTCGGTGAGGTATAAGTAGACCTGCAGGGATTAAGTGGACCTATCTAGGACGCCGATAGGGATTAAGTAGACCCATCAGGACGCTGATGGGGTATATAGGTGACCTACTTGAGACGCCAGTAGGGTATTTTGTGAAATCCTTTGAATTATGCACTGCCGTTAAAAGTGTTATAAGCATTTCAATTATTCGGATTATACTTAATTATGGCATTTATTGAAAGTAAAACT